CCATTAGGTCCAGACAGCCGTCCGTCTCTCCGATGTCCCAACCGTACAAATAGCACAATATTACGCCCAAAGAGGTGAGAAATATGCCAAATCCCAGAGTTGTAATCCAATCGTATCTCAACTTTGAAATTTCAAAGTTTTAAAGCAATTAAGATATAAGTTATTTGTAATGTTAAACAATACAATACTTACAAAACATATTATTCCCCTTAACGTCAGATAATACAAGTCGTAGAAATTGAAATATAATTGATGTCCGGATAAAGCCTTTGAAATTAATTTGCCGTTTCGCTGACACTCGTCTCGGATCATAATTGACGAGCACTTGGATGTCTCAATCAGTCTATTGATGGCATATTTTGGGTCAATAGATCCGGAGGGAGACTAATAACAGGAAATTATACTTAAATTACTTTTGAATTATGCCTTAAAGTACTGTATAAGTTATTAATTATTTGCAGACAAACCTCTATATTTAAAGATTGGTTGCGAACAGCGGATTGAAATTTATCGTTAGGAAAGTTTGTCGCTATTTTCAATAAAAGTTCAATCGGTTGGACGTCTTCAGGACATGTGACGCCACAACTGTTGAGATGGTCTTTAAGAAGATTGGGTCGTCCGGCAAACACACAGTGACCGCCCTTTGAGAGCACATATAACTGGGTAAACATCGATAGGAGCAGAGAGTTTGGCTGATGTATTGATGTCACGATTGCCATCCGATGTCTCTCTGATAGCTCTTTCAAACACTGGATTACCTTAAATACAATAAGTAATAAACAATTTGTATATTTGACAAAAACGTGTCAAAACATCTATAATACCATCTCTGAGGCATTGCTATCGAGACCACTGGTCGGCTCGTCTATACACATGAGGTTTGGCTTATTTTGTTGGACTAATTCCAGACCTATTGTCAAACGCTTCTGTTCGCCACCACTGCATGTCTGGACGGCATTATCGGCACAATCAGCCAAAAGCAGATCCAATAGTATTCGCCGGACATTCATGTCGTGATCAAAGTTGCCGTCGATGTCGAGCGGAACGGTCTCATCGATGACCTGATGCTTACGACCCAAACCCGGCTCAAGGCTTGCAGAATCTCCCGTTTCGGCCGCTATATTGTCGCGACCTTTCAGTCCAACACTTTTCTTATTTTTCAGTTTTGAAGCAAATAATAGCGATTCTCTAAATTGTTAAATAATTGTTACATCTTTTAGTGTTACTATTTTAATACTATTATAATTTATAAATTATAATTTATAAATTATAATTTTTAGTTCAATTAAATATACAAGTTTTTATTATTTAGTAGTAAACTTAATTATTACTACTACTTTCATTGTACTACTACACTGTAAATATGTATTTAATGACTAAAAATTATTTATTCAAACGAGTTATCTCTCACCTAACAGTTAATCCATTAATGATGTGTTCGTCCGCCGATTGCATTATGAAAGCAGTCCTCAATTCTGTGTATTTGCTGACAAACATCTGTGTGTCAGCCGTGAGGCCAGCGTTTGAGCGCATATTAACGCACTTCAATAGTGAGGTCTTTCCCGCACCCGACGGACCCATTAGTGCCGTCAATGAATGGAAATTGATTTGACCGTTAAGTGAGTCCAGAATATTCTTTACCGGTTTTCCCAACAGATTTTTTTGCACTAAAGTCAAGTCATTCCACGCCATAACCAACTCGTTTTTGCCCTTTTAATTATCACATATTTTATTAGAAAATTATATTAATTAACAAACAAAAGTAAAGTACAAAAATAGATTCAATAAAATAAATGTAGGTAAAAATAGCATACACTTATATGTACCAATAACTAATTTATTAATAATTCTTTAAGCTAATTTCTATAACATTTGCCTTACCGGACCAATTGAGCCATAATCTAGCTTTCCAATTTTGACCATTATAATTTTAGTGATAATTTTAAAATATTATAAATAAAATTCACTAATAAATGTGAATATAATTGTAAATTTAATTTACGACCTAATAATTGTGACATCAATTTAATGAGTGGCATAGACTCTACTATACTATAATTCACTTCAACTAGATACAAAAACCAGCTTTAATACGCCGAAAAATGAACTAGGCACATGTATTTGTAATTGATTTATTGATAAAAGTTAGTGTTAACGTTCGTACAAATTAATAACAATTACTTTGTTAATGGTACTTAATGAATATATTAAAAATTACAACAACTGTTTCTTTAAAAGGATTATTTTTTATACGTTGAAAAACACGTCAAAGATACATATTTTTAAGTACAGTATTTACAAAAGTTTATGTTACTATTGTTATATTTTAAAAAACACAACTGTATATACAATTAAAATTAATTCATGTGTTAGATTAACTTAGGATAATTAAATATATTTAATGTTAACTAATTGTTACTTGTGACTTATTGTCACTTTAATTAATCAATATAAGATTACAGGGTTACCCACCCCTAGACATGTAACGTTTAGATGTGTAAGTTCATCCACTACTATTTTCTTCACTCACTCTCAAATCTAAATAAATTAAACATACACTTGACCAAGGTCAATTTGATATAATAATTATTATTTATTTAGATTTTGATAATACTGCACATAAATATAATTTATTTTATCCAACAAAAGCTTATACTCTCAAAAAATATTAACATTTACTCTTTGGGCTCAACTGTAGGACTATTGGGATTGTGTTGACCGCCGGAGCCCTCCTTCTGGGGTTTGAATACCTTATCGACGGCTTCCTTAACACTCTTCTCGAATTTGGGCGCAAATTCTTTGTATCATAACGACTACCGGACTGGGCGGACAAACTTCTATAGCGGGTGAAAACTATACTTGACTACCGGCTGTGGGAACAGCACTACGACCGGCAGGACTACCAACAGCACAACCGGGAGTGGTCACCTTTCCCGTTTGAATCGCTTCTGGCCTTCAGACATATTGCGGCGAATCGGTTCCTGGTTTTCACCATCATGTTTGTGGTGGTGATGATGCTTGTGATGGTGATGCTTGTGGTGGTGGTGTTTCTTCCCCAACCCATCCTATGTTAGCAATTATTGAAAATAATATAAAACATAATTTAGTTCGGATTAATTTTTATTGCAATTTAATAAATAAATCTATAAAAAAAATTGTGCGAAAAATTTATCTAAAAATTTTGAGTTTAATTTTATACACTAATAATACATTTATATAATTTTATACGGACTTTACACTGAATTAACATTAGTAAAAATTGCAAAAATAAATTTATCTAAATTGCTTTATTGAAAATGTGTTATTAAATCCTTTTGTTAAAAGTACGAGTTTTGCGTACCTTCTGGGGCTCCGACTCGACGGACGACTTGGCGTTAAGCACCGAATCTTTCATCACATCGACGTCGGCGTTGAAGTCAATGACGGCATCGGTTTCGCCGCTTTGGTCCTCACTTCGGGTCAATACTTTACTCGCTGTTTGTAATTAACAAAAAAATTAGTTTAAATTACAATCAATTTACTCAACAAAATAAATCAATTCATACCGTTATTATTTTGCTTATTGACAAACATCTCATTGATATGTGTTTTCCATTTGCTTACGACATAAGCCCTGGACTTAGAGGAGGCCTCGACCTTAGAATCGCTGGAAGCGCTCAGATTAGTGTTCTTGCGGTAACTCCTTTTGGCCAGTGTCTGGAGAATAGGCATAATTTGTGCCATAATGTTTGCGTGACCGGGATTGTGATGGTGTCGGTGATGATGATGCCTGTGCTCACCCATTGCTCCCTCTCTGTGGTGATGTCTGGGTTCACCAAATTCGCCCTCTTTGTGGTGGTGTCGGTGGTGGTGATGGCGGTGTCGGTCCTCCCGGTCTTC